TGAACGACTCTTTTGATCTCAAGACATCTCTAGCTTCTAAATTCGATTGCTATCCTGAGACTTTTAATGTTTGTCATATTAACGCTCAGAGCATTCCACGTCATTATACCGATCTTCTTCATAACTTTTCATCAGATAACTTGGTTCATGCCATATTGGTGTCCGAAAGTTGGCTCAAGCCGTGTCTAAGCACCACATCATATAATCTTCCTGGCTATAATCTAATTAGAAATGATCGCATTGGCAAGGGAGGTGGAGGGGTGGCCATTTACTTATCCAATTCTCTTTCTTTCAAACCTTTGGTCTCTTCCTCCTCCAGCCAAGGTTGCATGGAATATCTTTTTCTTGAAGTAAATGTTAAAAGTGTCAAAATCGTTTTAGGAGTAGTTTACTGCCCACCAACCATAAACTTCTTTTCTGACTTAGAGTCTCTTCTCAATACTGTAGCTACCGATTTCTCTCACCATATTATAATGGGTGATTTTAACACCGACCTCTCAAAGCACACTGCTCAATCTCGTAAGTTTCGTTCCATATTCGAATCTTTAAATCTTTCGTTACTCCCCTTGATCCTACTCACCACAATCTCACTACTTGTGACTCGTGGATTGATCACATTATCACTTCTTCTCCTACACTGGTTTCCAATCATGGCCAACTTTTGGCACCTGGCTTCTCCAGACATGATCTTCTTTTTCTTGCTTATAAAGCCAAACCCCCTAAACCAAAACCTCAATTTGTACGAATGCGTAACTTTGCTAGGCTGGATGTGGAGAAACTTAGAATAGATGCATGCTCTGCAGACTGGTCTCCCATTAGTGAAGCTACTTCTGTGGATGCTATGGTTGAGCACTTCAACAGTCTGATAATAGATCTCTTCGAAAAGCATGCGCCTAAAAAATGTATTAAATTAAAGAGGCCGCCTTCTCCTTGGATTACTGCTGGGGTACGTATGGCGATGAAGAGACGAAATAAATGCTTTCATGTATATAAAAGATGTCGTACTGATGACAATTGGAACTCTTTCAAAACTGCAAGAAATCGCTGCAATCGGATGGTAAGAAGTGCCAAACGCCAGTACTTTCACTCCGATATAATAAACTCTAATGTTCCTGATACGTGGAAATTTCTTCGCACTTTAGGTTTCGGCAAATCTTCAGTACAGAAAAGTCCATCTCTTCCGTTAAATGATCTAAACAAGCACTTTTCTTCAGTACGTTCTCTATCTAGTTCTATAGTTTCTTCCACTGTATCCACCTTTACTTCCGCTGCTGCTTCTATTGACGAACCATTTTCTTTCACCCCCCTCATTAATGAGGACGTTCGAAAAATCGTGCTATCTCTCAAATCTAACGCCGTGGGTTGTGACGATATCGGACGAAAGATGATTATTCCTATTCTCGACTATATTGTCCCTATTCTCACTTTTATCTTAAACTTTTCACTTTCTTCTGGTGTATTCCCTACTTCTTGGAAAAAGGCATTCACAATTCCACTTCCTAAAATTCCTAACCCTTCATCTCTCAAACACTTTAGGCCTATCTCTATTTTGCCATTTCTTTCAAAATTCCTAGAAGCAGCAGTTCACAAACAACTTTCTTCATTCATTCTTCGTAATAATATCTTGAGTTCTTTTCAGTCTGGTTTTCAGCCTGGTCATAGTACCACCACCGCTCTTCTCAATGTATTGGAAGATATACGTGAAGGGATGGACAAATCAAAACTTACTGTTATGGTCTTGATTGATTTTTCGAATGCGTTTAATACGGTTAATTATGATATCCTGCTTGCTATACTCTCAAAATTAGGACTCTCTTCTTTAGCTACTGCATGGTTTTCATCTTATCTTCAAGGACGCCAGCAGGCGGTTCGAGTTGATCAGTCTATGTCTGATTGGTGCGAGCTGACTGCGGGCGTACCACAGGGCGGTATTCTCTCTCCTCTCCTCTTCTCTTTATTTATTAATTCTCTTACCACTCAATTTCATTCTTCTTACCATCTCTACGCAGACGATCTCCAGCTTTATACTCAAGCTGACAAAAGCAACCTGAACAGCGCAGTTGCTAATATAGGCAGGCAGTTGTTGTAAACAACTATATTTCGAGCTGGGTATCCATTCCTAGTGGCGTTCCGCAGGGCTCGCTGGTTGGACCTTTGCTGTTCATTATCTTCGTCAATGAAATTGATGCGTGTTTTCGTGCGTCGAGTCTTCTCTGTTTTGCTGACGATATGAAGATATATGCTAAAATACACGATCTTAACGATGCTAAGTCACTCCAATACGATCTAAACAGACTCGAAGTTTACTGTAGTCAGCATATGTTGGATCTGAATCCATCTAAATGCACAGTCATGACTTTCAGTAGGAAGAAGACGATGATTGCATATGATTACACGCTTCAACAGCTTATTTTGCAACGTGTCCAATCTATGCGAGACCTCGGCGTACTGCATGACAGTAAGTTGTTGTTCGATGAGCACATAAATATTATAATTTCCAAAGCAAGCAAAGCTCTCGGATTCCTATATCGTAGCTGTAAGGACTTTACCAACGTGAAAACATTTAAAGTACTTTACTGCAGTCTTGTGCGTAGTCACTTGGAATATGGCTCACAGGTGTGGAATCCTAGATATGCCGTTTATATCGAAGGGATTGAAAATATACAAAAGAAGTTTTTGAAATATTTATGTTACCGCACGAGGACGATATATTATTCCAGTGATTATATGGAATTATGTAAAAAGCATCTCTTATTAACCCTGGAAAACCGTCGAATGATAGCTGACATTATATTTTTAATGAAAATAGTCTCTAACGTTATTGATTGCCCCGAGCTTCTTTCATTATTGAGCTTTAATGTACCAGGAAGGAATCTTCGTTATTTTAGGCCAATTCATGGAGCCATTTCAAATACAAATTATAGGCAAAATACCTTTTTACTTCGTGCAGACAAATGCTTCAATGATTTGTGTAATAAGGTGGATATAGACCTATTTTTCAAGCTGTGACTCAGCAAGACAAATTATTGTTAATCTGTTAACTTGACCGAAGGCTTTTTTGATACTTTTTTTTTTCTTTTATTATTTAAATATGTGTAATTGTTTGATAAACATAGTGGTAACATTGGTTTGTGTCCTTATTGTAGTTTGGATCTATATGTGTGAGTCTATAATTGGTTCTCTGTTTCTTATTATTGTTTTTTATTTAATTTTATGTAACTGTTGATTCACCTTTGAAAATAAAATAAAATAAAAATAAAATATTTTATGTCTATAATCTAATGTATGTTTGATTATTTATGGTATTATAATTCATTTTTTTCTTATTTCGACTTTATTAATATATCTTATGACTGACTTTTGCTATAGTTTTCTTTTTTTTCATCGTCGTGTATATTTGGTTAAATTGTTGTTTATTTCTGCCCTGCTGAGAGTGAATTTAATATAAATAAATTGCAGACAAATATTGTATGTCATGTTAAATTATTGAGAAGTTGCTTACCTGTAAATCCTGATAAATAATTAAGTAAAATTAAAGAGGCTACACTAAAGGATGATATCTTCATTGCTCTTAAACATTATATAAAGAATGGTTGGCCTGACAATATACGATCTGTACAGGATAAAGTGAAACCCTTTTGGACTTTTACAGCCTTACTAATAAAAATTCATTAAACTATGGTTATTCAATCGTTATACCAAGAATAGTTATAGTTATATGTACTAGGTTGACGGGCGGAATATCGGTGGAATAAGTTTTGTTAGAACGTTACATCCAGGTTATGCTAAGCATAAGTTACATCGAATTTATAAGTTGACATTTTGCGTATTCTGCACTAATTCTTGGTATAACATATTAGATGATATAATTTTGAAGATTAATTTAATAGTAATTCCCAAAATCACTAAAAACTGAGATGCTACAAAAAAATCATCAAGGTCATGTTGGCATAAATACATGTAAGACGAGAGCTAGAATGTGTATATTTTGGAAGAATGTGTATCAATGAAGATTTACAAAAATATGTGAAAACTTGCCTGCCTTGCGCAAAATACAGACTAAATCAACAGAAAGAGCCAATTGTTAATCATAGAACAAATACCATGGTATAAAATTAGTATCGATATATGCTCATTTGAAAGTATAGATTATTTAGTACTCGTAGATTATTATTCAAAATATATTGAAGTATGTAAATTAAACAGTTTATCCAGTGCTTGTGTGATTGATAATTGTGAATCTATTTTTGCAAGGCATGGAATACCTGCTATTCTAATAACAGATAGTGGTACTCAGTTCACTGCAAATAAATTCAAAAATTTTTCAAATGTTTATGGGTTTTCCCATATTCTAACCAGTCCTAAACCTTCTCAGTCAAATGGTCAAAGTGAAAGTAGTGTGAAGATATTTAAAAATATTTTAAAGAAATGTAAAGAAGATGGTAGTGATATATTTATAGCGTTATTGAATTACCATAATACACCAAAACCGTATATGCCTTCACCTGCACAGCTTTTATTTTCAAAAAATTTAAATTCTCTATTGCCAATACAAAAAAGATGCTTGAAACCAAAAATTGTGCACTATAATGATAAATACAGTAATCATAAAAAGTGTGTAACAGAGTATTATAATAAAACTTCAAAACCACTAACTAAACTTGTAAATGGTCAGAAAGTATTCTAGAGTTGAGTGTCCCCGGTCTTATTATGTTAAAGATAAGAATGGTAAAATTTACTGACGAAATAGAAAGTATTTCTTGACTTTGCATAAGACTGATTTAAGTGTAGTTCCAAAAACTGATCAATTGAATCAGCAAGGTCAATTATGGGTCATGAAGAAAATGTAATTGAAACTACCATTCACCAATCTTGTATGAATGATAGGGAACAAATAGAGGATAAGCCCAATGATTTTGTTATTGTTAGTAGATATGGCAGACCGATTAAGAAACCTGATAGATTAAACCTGTAAAATTGTATATTAACATTAAGTAATTTTACTGAAAAAAGGGAGATGTTGATAATCGATTAATATTTGTATCTATGATAAATATTTCGATAATCGAGTAAGGTCGATGATTGCCCACTTACTCTTTTTCCAGCAACATCAGTTGTCATTAAGTAAGAATATAAAAATAAAGACATTTAATAAAGTCAATCTTTAATTTAATAAAAATAAACAACACCTAAGCAAATAAAGGAAGATCTTCGCTTGTGGTTTAAGGGCAAGAAAAATTTCGTTTTGGCATCCCTATGATATGGCTTGAACAAAAAAGTCATACAACCAACTGCTACTTCTACACAGTAGATGTAAAAGGATTTAATACAAAAAATAAAAAGAAAATATTTTATCCTAACCTTGATTCAGCTATTCGTCCAGTACCCCATGGCCCTGAAATACCAGTTCCACAACCACCTTCTAATTTAGATGATATTCTGTGTGAGTCAGAAGAATCAGACACATCAGCTTCCCAGGACGAATCTAGCCCGTATTTTCCTGTTGACGAGGGACCTCAACTGTTTTCTCAGGGTGAGCTGAACGACCTTGTAAGAGACTTAGGACTTTCAAAGGATGCAGCCGAACTGCTAGGATCAAGGCTGAAAAACAAAAAATTGCTGTCACCTGGGACCTCATTTTCGTGGTACAGGCATCGAGAGAAGAATTTCACGCAGTTTTTCTCCAAAGAGAGCAATCTGATTTATTGTGACGATGTCTATGGACTCATGAGGAGTTTTAAAATAGAATATCATTCATCATAATGGCGACTATTTATCGATTCTTCGAAAACTAGCTTCAAAGCTGTCTTACTGCATAATGGAAATGTATTTGCATATCTTCCTGTGGGTCATTCGGTTCACATGAAAGAAAACTATAATGACTTACGATTCTTGAGAAAATCAAATATCAAGTACATCATTGGATGGTTTGTGGAGACTTCAAAATACTAACCATGTTGTTGGGTCAACAGGGAGGTTATACAAAATACCATGTTTTCTGTGCTTATGGGACAGCAGAGCCAGACATCTGCATTGGACAAAAACTGAATGGCCACTCCGAGAAAACCTAACCCCAGGCGAGAAAAACGTCATCAATACTACGTTAGTTCCGTCAGAAAATTACTTTTATTACCACCTGTTCACATAAAATTAGGACTTATAAAGCCATTTGTAAAATCACTGCCAACAGACGGCGATTGTTTCAGATACCTGTATTCCAAGTTCCCTAAACTGTCTGAAGCCAAGTTAAAAGAAGTAGTTTTCACTGGCCCCGATATAAGAAAACTTTTGTCCGATCCTCTCTTTGTGGAAACAATGGAGGAAAGGAAAAAGAAGCTTGGGACTCTTTTAAAAATGTAGTGCAAAAGTTTTTAGGGAATACTAAAGACTGAGACTATAAAAAAATTGTACAACGCATGCTGGCCGCGTATGAAGCTCAAGGATGCAAGATGAGTTTAAAAGTCCATTTCTTGCACTGTCATGTAGACTATTTTCCAGAAAATTTTGGAGCCTATAGTGAAGAGGAGGGTGAAAAGTTTCACCAGGATGTCCGTGAAATCGAGAGACGTTACCAAGGATGTCTATGTTAGCCGACTACTGTTGGATGCTCAATCGAGAAACCAGTGAAGGAAATGAAAAACGACTTCGCAGAAGCATCAAAAATAAGAAGAAAAGGTTTCAAAAGAAAAAAGAGTAGCATAAGTAACATTTAAAAATAAGAAAAACTTTTTTTTAGTAACAGAAGGCAGTTGTTTATCTTATTCAATAAATTTATTTTTTCGAAAAATTTTATTTTTATTTTGCAAAATAACTATACGTGATGGGATATTCTGATAGTCATTTTTAGAATGTATGATCAAAAAAAAAAAATTTTTTTTGCAGACCTGTGTTATTGTTTTCATCTCTGCCATGATTTCTTCCCTCGCATGTGTTATTCTTTCATCTAGATATTTCTCGTTTTCTTTCTGTTTTATTGTTATATTACGGTTAGGGTTATATTACCAAGGGTTCATAATTCAGTGTGGGTTCTATTATTTTGTGCTCTTTTTCTTCCGTTTGTTCCTCTATTATTTTCTCTACTACCTGTTTTATATCATTTCCACTGTCTTCTATTCTTTCCCCTAGTCTCCGGCCCATATCAATTATCTCAGCTGTTAAGTTGTCTTCTGCCTTATCTATTTTGTCTTTTATATTTTTATTATCTACTTTCACTTTCCAATCTTCTATTCTTTGCTCAATTTCTCTTAATCTTATATCTACCTTTTCTTGTCCTTCTTTTATAGCTTTGTTATTCAGTCTTGCTTCGAGACTGTATCTTTCCCTTCTCTCTTCAGCTTTCCTCTCCTTTTCTTCCCAGCCCTTCATTATTTTTTCTATTCTGTTATTTGCTTCCGTGTGTGATGTTTTCATTTTCTTTTCAATTTCCTTTATCCTGTCCATAATATCTCCTTCTTTCGGCAGTTCGACTACATCCCTTTGTAGTTTCGCGAACCTGATTTCCTGCTATTCTAAATAATTCCTGATTTATTCTGCTGTGACTTCCGTGCTCTTTGTCCTTTCCTTTGCCTTTTTTAATAGGTTCACTACCTTGTCCCGTGCCTCTTTTCTTAGGGGTTGCTGCGTTTCTATTATTTCGAGGGCTTTGGACACTCTATTACATATGGACGGGATCTCTCCCCAAAATCCATATCAGGGCCCCATTCCTGAATTTCCGATGTTGTTGCTGTTGTTTGTGTTATTGAGGATGAGCTGCCTGTTGGGGATAGGCTCGCCATATTTCTCCTCCTTGGTGATGGTATTGGCCTGATGTTCGGGTTGGTAGGTTGTTTAGTTGTCTCTTTTGGTGGTCTAAAATTTTTTTATAATTTTTCTTCTTTCTGTTTCAGGTGGTGCTGCGAATTCTATTCTACAGGTCCTGGTCCACAAGTCCTGCTACTGTGGAGTTTCGTCTATTCAATTTTGGTGAGTATATGTTATGTTTTCTATTTATAAGTATTTGTGTTGTGTTGTTCAAATAGTTTTTAGAGCTCGGCTCTAGTTCTTATAACCTAAGACGTGTCCCAAATAGGGGTTACACTGTCAAAAGTAAAGTTAAATAAGTTAAATATTTTGTCAAAAGGGGGTCCTAAGTTTAATACACGGAAATTTGTTAAATTATAAGATGTGATAACAAGGTTGGCGAATCAATATCAGAGTGTAATAGTTTGTGCAAACATAGTAAGTCATTACACTTGCGGTGACTCTCAAGACTCATGAGACCATATTTTTTTAGTCTATCTTGGTAAGATACAAGCGTCCTTTTTGACCCATACCGAAAACATAGCAACCTCGTGAATTTCTTTTGTATCTTCTCAATTCGATCACAGTGAACCTTGTAAATCGGATTCCAAACCACACTGCAATACTCAACAATGCTCCTGACAAGAGCATTGTATAAATAAACAAGACTGTCTGGACGTCTAAAACCTTTAGTGAAGCGGGATACAAATCCTAGAATCTGTGGGGCTTTATTAATAATACTTTCATAGTGAGCATGAAAAGTTAATTTTTCATCAAAAATAACTCCTTGATCTGTTACTTTACTCTCACGATTCAGTGATTGATTATTAACCCTATAATCATTATTAAATCTCTTAATTTTTGGAGTAAAAGAAACGACAAAGCACTCATCTATGTTTATAACCATATAATTTTTGTCACACCATTTGACGATCGTATTCAGGTCTTGTTGCAGCACTTCAGCATCAGTTTCGTTGTCCACAATCGCATAGACCTTCAAGTCATCCGCATACAGTAGATAGTGGCATGATAACTTCTGTATAAGATCTTCAACAAAGACTATGAATAAAAGCGGACCAAGATGTGAGCTCTGTGGTACGCCAGAATGAATAATGAGAGGAGCCGAAAGATGTCCCTTTATTGCAACAATTTGACTTTTATTACGTAAATATCCGCGGTTCGAAACCGAGCAGCCACAGAAACTTTTATTATTTTTTGTTTTCTCCCTTTTTTCCACACTGAGAGCTACATTACATTTAATAAAAAATTTGAATTTCTACAATGGCCCCTGGAAAATTCAAATGCTCTGGATGCTTGCAAATAATTACTGATAGACAATACTTAAAATGCTGTGTATGTTCGGAATACTATGACATACTTTGTGCTAATGTATCCGAACAACGCTTTCGAAACACACTTACTGGACAGCACAAAACCAACTAAAAATGTGATGCATGTAAGAACTCGGAGCCTAAAGCAGATAACCGAAACACACCTATTCGTGAACATGATGACAAGGTCATGCGTCGTCGAGGTGCCTCAGCCCTGAGTCTGCTTGAGGAGCGCTTAGCGGTTCCTGTTTCTGCGGATATCGAGTGTAAACAAGGGGATATGCAAACACTTATTGAAGAATTGCGCTTGTTAGGAAAAGAAATGCAGGAAACTCGTCTCCAGGTTCAAGTCCTTAACGAAACCTTGGGTGCGCTCGGGGCACGTGTGGATGTTTGTGAGAGCAGGTTAGACAAACTGACCTCTCGTATTGAAAATATAGAATCTTGTGGCATGGGTTCGGTGATGGGCTGCGACGGTACTGCTTTGGCCAACACCATTGAGTCTCTGAGGGCGGAACTAAACGAGCGTGATCAGGAGCTGCTGATGAACGATTTGGAGATCACTTGCATACCGGAACAAAAAGGTGAAGGTCTCCAGCACGGCGGGATGTGGTGAGTGCCGTTCGTGTCGGCCGAGAGCTGAACGTTGGTGGCGACGGCATGTCGTCGGCATCACGACCTCGCCCCATAGTTGTCCGCCTGGTACAGCATTCTTTACGAGATGACCTACTTCAAGCAGTCCGTGTGCGCCGGGGAGCTACCACCGAAGGCCTCGATCTTCCTGGCCCGCCTCGTCGCTTCTACGTTAATGAACTGACGAAAACAAATCGTTTATTAATTCGTCAACCACGTGAAATCGGAGAGCGTCTTGGATGGCGTTTCATATGGACCAGGGATGGGAAAATATTTACTCGCCAGCACACTGGGCGTCACCGTTTGCGTACTGTAGCCGACCTCATCAGTGTTTTTGATCCTGAGGCCGTTGGTTCTGTATCCGTTTAAGCCTGGACTAACATCTTGTGTTAAATTGCTTTGTTGCTGTTTTTATATTGATTTTGTCCATTACTTTATTTTTTATTTTAGACATTCATTCAATTGTGTGTATGACATTGTATCTATTGTTAATTTAATTTGTATATATTTGAAATTCAAAGATTGTATAATGTTAATTATAATAATAATAATATATAGTCTCCTTTTATGTATTAAATATGCTTATTTGTATATTGATTATGTATATGACATTGAATTAAATTTAATAGAATTTAATGGAATGTTAATAACTAGATTTTTTTGTTACCTTATATGTCTTGAAGGAGCTTATTCGTTTACTCAGTATTTCTTATTATTTCCTTCCGCTAAATGTTTCATGTGTTTTTCTGATCTGTCTGGCTTTCCTTTGGTATTTTATGTGTTCTATGATTATAACTTCTATGTTTAATATCTGTGTGTAGCAGTAATGTACTCTTATAACTTGGAGGCACTAAAATGGACAGGAAACAATTATATTCATGCATCTTTTTCTCCCTGCGAAATAATTTTACAGCAACTATATGTAATGACATATTCGGTTACTTTACATTTACTAATTAGGAATATTATTAAATTACATATACTTAAACACTTTGTGAAATTTAATTTGTGATTGACGAATTAATATACTCACTTACATTATTATATGCACAACATAATCATCACTTTATAAATTATATTAATGCATCTTTTTCTCACTGTGAAACAATTTTACACCAACTATTTATAATGACTTATACAATTATTTTTTGTTTACTAATTGAAAATATTACTGGATTGCACATACATATACATTTCGTGACATTGAAGAAAATTGACGAATTAATATGCTCATTTACATTATTATATGCACAAAATAATTATCTCTTTCTAAACCATAAAATATGTAACTGTAGCTTTAATCTGAGTTTATCTTACCCGACTTCATTACTAATTGCTTCTGTTAACAGATATTCTATGGTGATCGCTTATTATTTTCTGTCATGGTTTGCTTCTTGGTTACTGTATTTTGAATTGGCTTATTAATGCAGGCTACAAATAAATTAAAATTAGGTCTATTCAACGCAGGTTCCCTAAATACTGATCACGATGATTTTTTGGCAGCTGTGACACGTTCTGACGCCGATATTGTTGCGATTAACGAGACTTGGTTGCAAGAGGGACAGGAAGCGCGCGCCCCAACGTAGGCTGGCTACAGACTAAGAAACACTCCGCGCCCGCTGCACATGCGGTCCGGCAGGGGAGGGGGAGTAGCATTTTATATCAAGACCGGTATTCGTGTTCGATATGTAAAGCATTCTGATGATAATATTGAGCAAATGTGGCTCACCACTAAGATAAATGGATCTACTTTTGCAATAGGTACCGCCTACAGGCCCCAATGGGTGAATGTAGATGTTTTTCTGGAGTCACTGACTAGGGCTGTGACTTATTTTGGCCAGAACGACTTCGTTGTCCTTATGGACGATTTCAATATAAATATGTTGAACCAGACTGCGGGTGAAACGTTGAAGCTAAAACCATTCATTCTAAAAACATTCCTCAATTATATAGACCTCGAGCAGGTTGTATCTGAGCCTACTCACTTCACGGATGTATCACAGACATTGATCGATTTGATTTGCACTAATTGTCGTATTCAAAGCTTGGATGTTTCCCATATATCGGGCCCAGTGGGTCACTGTATGATTAATGCTACCTTTTCAGTAAAAAAACCCAAAACCGAAACACGTGTTATTTCTTGCAGGCCAATTGAACAGATAAATCTTAATGATTTCAATGCAGATCTGTACTCGTTGGATTGGAGATCGGTGGAGGCTCTTCATACGGTAGATGATATGGTGCTTTGTTTCCAACAGATGCTGTTATTTTTATTTGATAAGCACGCCCCTTCTAAGATCATTAAGATCCGGCCCGGAAAATGTATGATGGATTTGCGTAATCGTGCCCTCAAAAAATATCGATTAACTAAGTCTCATGAGGATAAATTGGCATGGAAGAATTTGCAGAGACTGGTGGAAGTAAGTTTAGCGTCAGAAAAGCGTGCTTACTTTGAACATTTCGTGAATACTCAGGCTTGTAATAGTAAGATTTTCTGGAAACAAGTAAGGAAAAAGATTTTTGCTGACCCCTGCCATAATAATGTCTTCCTGGCTCTTTCAGTGATCCAAATGCAATTAATTCCCACTTTTTGGATTTCTTGGGTGACAGCGACGTGTCTTCGTCTTATATTCGTTCTTTCGGGTCCTCTCGTTACAATGGATCCGTGTTTGGTTTGAGTCCGGTGACCGAAGGTGAGGTGGCAAGGCTCATTCTCTCCTGCAAGTCTAATGCTTGTGCTGTCGATGGTTTGAGTAGAGACATGATTCTTTTAACCTTGCCATGCACTCTAAGTGTCATGACAGCCATCATTAATCTGTCTCTTACTTCTGGCACCTTTCCTACCGGATGGAAGCATGCCTTGGTGACGCCGATTCCTAAAGTTGCTCATCCGTCGGGGCTAGGGGACCTGAGGCCAATTAGCATTCTGCCATTCCTGTCGAAAATTCCTGAAAAAGCGGTGTACTCTCAGTTGAACAAATTTCTCGAAAGTAATGGAATTCTTCCTGCATTGCAGTCGGGTTTACGTAGGAATCATGGTACGTCTTCCGCTTTGATTGACGTGGTTGATAATATCCTGTCTCAACAGGATGCTTGTCTTGGCACCGTTCTCACGTTGCTCGATTACTCTCGTGCCTTTGACAGTATCAATCTGGATCTTCTCTTGGCCAAGCTTGAGTACTATGGTTTGGATAGCCTTTCGGTGAGATGGTTCGGAAGCTACCTATTTCAGCGTTACCAATCAGTTAAACTCGACGGACTTCCTGGCAGCTGTTCTTCACGGATATCAAACCCTAGGGAAATTAGGCGAGGTGTTCCTCAGGGCTCAATTCTTGGACCTTTGCTATTTATAATCTATACAGCGGATATGGTTGAAGTGATCAACTACTGCAACTATCATTGCTACGCAGATGACGTGCAATTGTATATATATACACACCCACACTCGACCCGGGAGGCTATTTTGAAGTTAAACGAGGACTTACAGAGGATTGCAAAGTGGTCAGATGACAATGGGCTCCTTCTAAACCCCTCAAAGTCTAAATTCATGGTGGTCTGGTCTGACTCACAGGTTACTGGAATCACCCGCTCCGGTCCTTCTGTATCTCTTGGAAACCAAAGTGTGCAAATGGTTCAGGAAGCGCGGAACCTCGGGGTGCTCTTTGATTCCCGACTACGCTTTGAAGCCCACGTTTTAAGTGTGGTCAAGAGTTGCATGTACCGGTTAAGGGTACTCTACAGGATTCGCAACTTCCTCAGCGAGAGGGCTCGTGTAACACTTTGTGAATCAATAATTCTCTCGAGGTTCAACTACGCTGATGTAGTGATTGGCCCTCGTCTACTTTCCAGGACACGTCAACTGATACAACGAGTTCAAAATTCGATTCGTGATACGCCGTCGTCAAGTAAACATTGTAATTTTTTTTCCTCGCTTATTTCTCTTCTTGGTGCATAAATAGTGTCTTTTATTAAGTTGGAAATAAATACCGTTATTCGTCTTTAACGTTAATACATATCAGTATATCTGTTTATATTATTCGTGCGGTAATATTAGTGAAATTTTGCAATTAATTAAACTGTGCAGTGTGTGAATAAAATCAGACAAAGTGATTGTCTTTTGACCTTGCAGTGGCCCGTTTCAACGAACAGGTTAGAACGCGCTGTCCCTTTCATGCTTACGGCACTACCTGATAAACTATCCCATTATCATAAAGGGTATTCTCGTCCCACAGGATACGGAAAATATATTTACTTATTTTCATTGTAGCTGGTGAATGTAACTTTCAAGAATGCCACGTCAAAGCCACGTAAACACTACGTGGCAATTTACTGGATTCATTATCATGAGGAGAATGCCATCACACTTTGATTCCAGTAACTTGTTTAATGTACCACACCATTCGTAAAAATAGTTATAACATCCCACCCACTTTCACAACGTTTTCTTTGTTTTTCACGCATTTTCCTTATTTCTTCCTCTGTCAAAGACTTATTGAAAGGCAAAGGGATCTATAACCATTCGGCCATATCACTTATAAGGTATCTATTTATCGTTTTATAGTTTATTTATTTATTTATGGAATTAGTATATAATAGTTGTATTTTAATGTTTCTTTTATATGTTAAGAATTTTATTATTTATGTAGACGGAAGATACCATTTATCAGGCGCTGTCAGAAAATCAGTGCTTTTGTAGCGTTGTAACTGCAATGTTGCAAAAGAAATCGCTGAGACAGCGACCCTGATTGGCCTCGCACGACGCACTCAGTGAGTGGGACTAGGAGAAATTAAAATATCTATTGTATTTATTTAATCGTATTTTTCTTTTTCTTTTTTTTTAGTTAGTTTTATTGTATTTTCTTATTTTGTGTTTCTACTGAGTGTAACGCTTGTGAGGCCAATAAAATTTCTTTCTTTCTTTCTTTCTTTCTTTAATACTTTCAAGTCATAGCCGCCAAAATATCAAACACAAAATAAACTTTTTTGTTTGACTATTGTAATTCAACTCACAGTACAACAGAACGGTCACCTGCAGAGTTATTGTATGGGCGAAAATTAAGATATAGGTTAGATTTAATTAAACTGGTTTCTAAAGCGTTGTCATCAACTGATGTTTCCTCGACTGTACAGCGTAAACAATTATTACAGACTAAATATTACGGCGGCCGAATTACGAGGGAATTGTCAAAGAATGAAAACGTAATGATAAAGAGAAAATCGGTAAAGTCCTTTATAAAGTATATGTACCAGACGAAAAAGCATATACGATCCGCTATAGGAACCAAATTAAACCATCCTATAATGAACCGATAGGTACATACATAAATAATATACTCGATGTAAACAGTGTGTCGAACCCACAGCTACCGGAGTCAACAATGTCCACAGCTACACTGCCAGCAGAAGCGCCTTCCTGTGAGGAGGGAGTGAATTCTGTATCGAATGAGGATGGCTGCGAAATGTTTACAGACACTGTGTCAACGGATGTGCAACATTCGTCTCCGCGTCCGCGTTCACCACTGCAATGCAATACGCCTACACCACCTAAACCGACTGACAAACTTCGACGTGATCGGCCACATGTTAATTATAAACATTTTTCTAATTTATGTTATATATGGTGGAGGGATGTTAT